AAGGAAGGGGCAGGGAAGGGAGGGAGGGAGGGAGGGAGGAAAGAAGGGGAAGAGAGGGAGGAAGGAAGAGAAGGGAAGGGGGAGGGAGGGAGGCAAGGGAAAGGAAGAAGGGAGGGAAGAAGAGGAGGAAAAAACCGATCTGCCAGGCTGAGGTACCTGGGCGAAAATGGCTCCGGGCCTTAAAGCATTCACCAGCCAGTGAATTTCCAAGGGATTTGCAGTAATTAGATGACAAAATGCTGGCAAATCTCAAAGCTTGCTGAAGATGTTACTCAGGGGTCAAAGACTTGACACTCCGGGCTGGTAATTTGTAAGTGTCAATCACGCTCAGCCATCAGACAAACCGCTCCGCATTCTCACCAAATCCAGCTCTCTTTGGCCTTTGGCCATCCTCCGGCTCCTTTGCCTTGCAAACCCTAGGCCGGGGCTGCATGCAAATGCCGTGGCCGCTTCCTCCTCCTCCTCCTCGCCAACTCTAGCAACTGGCTCCTCCTCGTTAGGCTCACCACGCTTCCCACCCTGGCTGTCCAATGCGTTCGTTTCTGCCTCCTTTCCTCCACTCCAGTCCGTCCTCAGCTTACGACAGTGCATTTAGCGACCGTTTGAAGTCACACCGTCACTGGAGGGGGGGAAAAAACGACTCAGGGCTGTTTGACGCACTCGTGACGGTTTGCGGCAACCCAAATCAAAAGCCCCACGATCAAAAATCGAGGCGCTCAGCCACCGACTCGCATTTATGATGGTCGTGGCGTCCTCCCGGTGTTCACGGGATTCCCCTTTTGCGACCTTCCGACAAGCCAAAGTCAACGGAGGAAGGCCCGGGTTCACTTTAGCGACCGTGGGGCTAAGTTTACAACTGCATGGATTCACTTAATATCTGTTGCAAGTGTTGTGGTTCGCCGGCAGCCTGTGCAGGAAGCAGCAGAATCGGACAGTGGGGAAGAACGGGGACCAGTCTGGGAGTCTTGGAGAGGACTCAGATGAGGGTCCTGCATCCGATGCAGAGATGCGGCCAGGACCATCTGGGAGTGGGGTGCTGCCTCCGGAGCCTCCGGAGTCTGGCAGCAGTGAGGAAGAGGAACAAGGGGAGCCTGTTCCCAGTGTGCATATGCACAGAGCTGCTGGAAGGCAGCTGAGACAAAAGAGGCGACTCGCGAGTAAGGCTGGGAGGTGATTGCCCCTCCCCTAAGGTATAAAGGTCAGGCAAAAGTAGAGAAACCTTTGCAGGAAGGTTCTGTTCTGTTCAGACTCATTCTTGAAGTTCGGCTGGTTTTCTTTCTAGTTCATTGGACACTTCTGTTATTGGCAGCACTTCACAGGAGAGAAAGGTGGGTGCTTATCTCAGGGGAATGTTTGAGATTCATTATCGGCTGGGAATGAAAATAATTCCCAGCATTGCAATAAAACAAGTAAGTTTTTAAAGTAAGAATGTGCATAATTACGGGCTCGGAAGCCTTGGTCAGAACAGCAAGAGAGGTCGTAAAATGGGAAGTGGTTGGTGGTGGTGGGAAAACTCATTTAGTGACTGTCTCGCTTGGCGACAGAAATTTTGGGCTCAATTGTGTTGTAAGCCGAGGACTGCCTCTATAAGGCATTAGGTTTGCTTTTTCAACTCACCAAGGTTATCATTAACCCCACGGCGCAAAGCATTACGGAGTCCAACCATTCATTTAGCGACGGTTCAACGTTATGATGGCACTGGAACAGGTGACTTGGCGGCCAGTCTTTAATTGAGCTTGAAATTTATGTTGCTAAGTGAGAAATTTGTTGAGTTTTGCCCCATTTTATGACTCCGGTTTTTTTGGGGTGGTGGTGGCAGATTTGTTACCATGAATCGTTGTGGCTGTAAAATGAGTCACACGGTTGGTAAGTGAATCTGGCTTCCCCCACGGACTTTGCAGGTCAGAAGTTCGCAAAAAGGGGATTGCATGAACCGGGGGACGCTGCAGCCATCATAAACGTGAGTTGGTGGTCAAAAGCATCCGAATGTAAATTGTGTGACTGTAGGGTATGCTGCAATGGTCGTTAAGTGTGAAAAAAAATGGTCCTACATCGCTTTTTTTTTCAGTGCCGTTGTAATTTCGAACGGTCACGAAATGAACTTTCGTAAATCGAGAACTATTGTAATTGTGAATTTCTGCTGTTTGTTTTGGCTGTTCCTTGTCTGTTGTGCTGGCTGCGCCTCCTGGTGGCAGAAGAAACTAATAAAAATGGAAGGAGAAATTTGGAACAGAATGCCTGAAGAAGCGGAGAGAGCCTAGAACGGAGCTGCGAACTGAATTCGTAATAGCAACAGTCCTTATAGTGCTTTACGGCCATCTCTAAGCGGTTTACAGAGTCAGCCTCTTGCTCCCAACTATCCGGCTCCTCTTTTTACCCACCTTGGAAGGATGGAAGGCTGAGTCAACCTTGAGTCAGTCAGGATTGAACTCCTGGCAGTGGGCAAAGTTAGTCTGCAATAAGGTATTCTGATAGATCAGAGGTCTCCAAACTTGGTAACTTAAAGACTTGTGGACTTCAACTCCCAGAAGTTTGGGGACCCCTGTGATAGATAGATAGATAGATAGATAGATAGATAGATAGATAGATAGAT